CGGAGACGTAACAACAGATAGCCCACTGTGTATCTTTGAGCTTAATTGCAAACAAACAATTATTATCATATTGTTATGTCTGTGTTCGTTTGTTAATTTCCCGTAGAAATTCTTTCCGAGAAACTTCAGCGATACAAGTCTTTTCTTAATTTCCACAGTCACTTAACAAACACGCTATATTTCTCAAGAAACGATTCACGCACTTTACTTACTACCGCGCTTGACTCAATTGTCCGTCTATATCTTCAATCTCTGTGTCCGCTATTCAATTCCGATTAGGTAGGTAGGTTTCCTGGCAGTTATTTAGATTTAAAAATAATTATTTCCGAAGAAATAACTATTAATCTGGGGTGCTCGAAGATTGAACAATCCTCCTTCACCCCGCTCGTGGTCTAGAAATATGGGCTTAACATGAGAAATGGGAAATTAATGCGGACTAGATATGTAATTTTATAAAGATCAAGAGAGAGTAATTATAGACAATAAAAAGTGAAGAGCAAAGTGAACTAAACGGCCGATATCGGACCGATGGTCCATCGGGGCGGCAGGGATCTAAAAATCCTATGCCGAGAATTTGATGTGGGGGAAACGGGAGTACCCCGAGAAAACCCACTTTCAATGGTAACGACTGATCCGTTACCAGTGCTCTATTAATGAGAAGAAGTAAGTAGCAAGTAGGTTAGGCAAAGTGAAGGCCGGTGCTAGGGGTTGATTAATTTTAGAAATTGTTGTGTAGTCTCTTGGAGTTTATCGTGGATATGAATTGTCATACTTTCTGGTTCCAGGCAGGTGGTAAAGGCGTGGAGTTCTCAGTGTCGTTGGTGAGAAAGGTTGGTCGGGTAGGTAGAGATTGGGGGAGGTGTCGATAACTAGGGCGTTCCGTGAGTTGGAGGTCGATGATGTAGAAAGTGGCTTGGGGCTGGGAGGCGTGATGTTGGTCTGTTGAAAGGCGTCAATGGTAAGTGGTGTCTGTGTCTAGGTGCCTTTTTTCCTCCTGGTAGTGGTGGTTTGAGTAGACATATCTTGTGTTTCAGGAGTGGGTGTAATTTGAGTAGCTTGATCGCATGTTTTAGGATGGGCGGTAGAGTTCTAGTTGGCGGCGGTTATCTTCTAGGTGTTGTGAAACGTGGGCATGGGAGTTGGGTTAGGAAAGGTATGGGAAGGGTGAGGCTTGCGATAGGGTTTTTTCTGCCTTGAAATGATGAAAGTCAAGGAAGCAACTGTGGCAGAGAATGAGATCTGCTGTATGTTTAGAAGTTGTAACAACTTTCATAAACGTGGAGGGTAAACCTGTTTTCTTGGACTGGATGTGGTGGACTGCGTGGATCGTGGAATTTGTTGTAGTTAGCAGGGCTTGGAATATTTCTTCTGGCGTAAAGGATATATGAACGTTCCAGGGAAATATAGTGTGGAGACTGGCATTGATTTGTGGGGTTAACAAGTGAAGGGAGGATTTGAAGACCAGGGTTGGCGAAGGTAGTGGAAATCTTCTAGTGACTTAGGTTGGAGGAGTAAGCCTCCCTTCCGTAGACGTCGGGTTCGCTCAGGGAATACTCGGGCTTGGGGTTTGAAGTGGCGGATGAAGTTAGGCATGTCCCGCGGCGAGAAGTCGAGAGGTAGTCCATCGATAATTAACGGCGGCGTAGAATACGAGACACTCTGCATTCTGGTGTGTAACAGGGTCGATAGCTAATCGTCGAATCAACGAATACGATTCAATTCCGACTAATTGTCTGGCGCACTTATATACAAGAATAGAGGGCGCCTAGAAAATACTGGATTGTTCGTGATGTTCCCCGATTTTTCTAGAACTCATTACGTGTTACCAGAATCACGTGACTTCCGCTGTCGTAACACTGTCCTT